CCCCTCCACACCGTTGGGACCGCAGCGTCGGCGGAGCCCCCGCGCGCTTCCTGCTGCTGTCCGCCGGGGCGGGGCCGGGTTGGGGGCGGGGTCAGGCGGGGCTGGGGGTGGGGTCAGGGCGGGTTGGAGGCGTGGCCATGTTTGGCGGGGCGGGGTCACAACGGGGCAGGCCGGGCCTGGGGCCTGACGGCTGCCGGGAGCCCAACGAGGCTTGGGTGACAGTTCGCGTAGGGCCATCCCGTCGCTGCTCCTCTTGCTGCAGAACCTTCGAGTCCTTCACGGCGGGCCTCGCTGGAGGAACGGCGGGAAGGCAGAGGGAGTGATAGGAAACGGAGAAGCCCCGCGCCGAAAACGAAAACATTACCTGCCCAAGCTGCCTTCCCAATCGCCAACTTGTCCCTTCCTAGGGTTCGCCTCCTTACTCTGTTAAAGTCAAATTTCTGTGCCTTGTGTGGTAGTACACGCCTTAATCTTAGCACTTGGGAGGCAGGGGCAGGTGGATCTCCATTTGAAGCCAACCTGGTCTACATTAATGAGTTCCAGGCTAGCCAGAGCAATGTAGATCCTGTCTCAAAAAAATAAAAAACAGGGGGTTGGGGATTTAGCTCAGTGGTAGAGCGCTTGCCTAGCAAGCGCAAGGCCCTGGGTTCGGTCCTCAGCTCGGAAAAAATAAAAATAAAAAAAATAAAAAAGATTTCCATGGTCTAGAGAAGTGACTCAGTAGTTAAAAGTGCTTGCTGTTCTTTCAGTGGACTTGTTTGGTTACCAAAACCATGTTGGGCAGCTCACAACCACCTGTAACTGTAGCTCCAGGGGATCCAATATCCTCTTTTGGCTTCCTCAGATACCTACATGCATACACACGCACACACGCACACACAGAGACACGAGTAAATCAGTCCTTTTAAAATGATTTCAGAGCCAGTGTGGTAGCACACACCTTTAATCCCAGCCCTGGGGAGGCAGAGGCAGGCGGGTCTCTGTGAAATCTAGGCCAGTCTGATCTACATAGTGAAGTTCAGGCAAACTGGGGCTACAGGTAGACCGTGTCTCAAGACAAAAAAAAATTTTAGCCAAATGAAATAGATCTTTAGGTGCTGTTGTCACCCTTTAAGCCTGTCTAACCTTTTAACATTGCAACATGAGGGTTATCTACAAAGTCCATACTGGAAGGGAAAAAAAATCATAAAAATATGTCTTAAGAAAGTTTACCATTTTGTATTGGGCCGAATTCATAACTGTCATCTGCTGCATTGTGTTCCCAAGGATCATCTCTATGCATAACTTATTTGGTGAGGGAGAGGTTGAGACAAGGTCTCAACACTGTAGCCCAGACTAGCCTTGAACTAGCAGCAATCCTCCTGCCTTAGCCTCTTCAGTGCTGAGATTACAGGAGTGTACCACTGCACCCAGCTAGAATTTCTTTGCTTTAAAAAATTTTAATTTATGTGTATGAGTGTTTGTAAAGGACAGTTGTTAGCTGCCATATGGGTTCTGGGAACCAAACCCAGGTCCTCTGCAAGAGCAACCAGTGCTCTTAACTTCTGAGCCACCTCTCTAGCCCCAAATTTCCTTCCTTTTATATAGGAGAAAATATTCCATTGTATGGACAAACCACATTCTGTTTAGCCATTGATGGATATAGGAATACCCTACAATTAGATTTTAACATGCTGAAATATCTTCCCTGAGCTTAGTGTTGAGAGAAATCATGTATGGAACTAATGTCACAACCCTTCAACATGGCAGCTTTGGGTCTGAGCTCTCTGACCACTAAGTTGGTTCCGGGGGCCAGAACAGTCAGCCTCCACAGCCCTCAGAGCAAGCATGCTGGAGGGGCGAGACAGAAGGAAACCTGGACAGGTAGTGATGTATCCATCAGGAGAGCATCAGGAGTTAAAGCAAGATGAGATGCGGTGGTGGGGGATAAAGGAAGGTGTATTAGTTTGCTTTTTGTTGCTGAGATAAACACCATGACTGAAAGCAACCTGGGGAGGAAAGGGATCATTTCATCTTACACTTAACAGTCCATCGTCTAGGGAAGGCAGGGCAGAAACTCAAAACAGGAACCTGGAAGCAGAATCCAAAGGCAAATTTGAGCTAAGAAATTTCTTAATTTCCCTCTTCCCAGGTATGTCTAGGTTTATGTCAGGCTGACAAAAACTAACCAGCTCAGAAGGGTTCTCTGAAGAAGCAGAGCTGGTACTAGAGACACCCAAATGAATGGGAAGGCAGCGCCAGGGGGCCCTGACCCTTCTGTCTCAGAAGAAGTTGTGGGAACAGATTCATGGGGGAGGCCAGGAGAGGCCACCATGGGCCCAGTGATGGCAACTCTATCACTCCCCCACACATCTGCTTTAGCCACTTTGGTCCTGGCACCAGTGGGAAGGGCCATGTGGTACTGGCTCCTTCTAGTAGACCTTTTTTGTTGTTGTTGTTGTTTTCAGAGTCCCACGTAACCAGGCCCACTTAGTACTTGCTTTGTAGCTGAGAATGACCTTGAACTTCTGGTCCTCTGGCCTTTACCTCCTGAGTCAGCACTCAGGAGGTACAGTTACAACCCCAGACTCCAGATAACTGCTTTCATTGATAATACTAGGTATTGTTAGGAAAGTCTTTATTTACTGGAAAAAAACTTCCTTCCTGAAGCCATCTTTCTAAAGCCAAGTAAGACACCAAGCCTTACTTTGCTGTCTGATAGCTCTTCAGATACTAGAAAAAAACTTGTTTTCTAGACAGGGTTTGACTGTGTTGCTCAAGCTTTTTTTTTTTTTTTTTTTTTTTTTTTCTTTTGAGATGACCTCATTATGTAGTCTTGCCTGGGCTGAAAGTTGCTATATAGACCAGGCTGGTAAGGGCCACCATGCCCAGCTCAGGCTGGTCTTTTTATTTGTTTTTATTTTGTTTTATGAGATAAGATCTCAGCTCAGGCCAGCCTAAACCTCATACAGTCCTCCTCCTTAGTTTCCTTAATGCTGAGATTACAGGTGTGAGTCACCAAGTCCCATTTCAGGCTGGTCTTCTACTAGGTTTAAACCATCTTCCTGCCTCAGCCAAAGTCCCAGCAGCAAGGGCTGCAAGTGGGAACATTGTTGCCATGCTCTTCCCTACACAGAGCTCAGGACCTCACATGTGCTACCCACAAACCACACCACTAAGGAAACCAGTATACCATAAACCAAGGACACCTCATTAGTGTACCATAAACATAGGTTTTGGTCAGTGACACACAGCAAATTTGATGGTGGTCCCATAACATTATATTACCCAGTGACATTATAGCTATTTCAATTTATGTAGGTACATTATGTGATGCCCACACACCTAGGAAATCTCTGAGTGACAGAGTTTTTTACTTAATGTATGAGTGTTTTACTCCCGTGTGTATGTATACCATGTGCATGCAGTTCTTATAGAGGCCAGAAGAGGGCGTCAGACCCTGTGGAGGTGGAGTTACAGATGGTTGTGGGCTACCACGTGAGTGCTGGGAACTGAACCCAGAGTCTCTGCAAGAACAGCCAGTGCTCTTAACTGCTGAGCCATCTCTGCAGCCTCTCTTTGGTTTTCTTTTATTATTTTATTATATATTTATATATTTATTATTATATTTTCATCTTTTAAGTTTTGGTCTTTTTGAGCTCCAGCTGTCCTGGAACTTACTATGTAGACCAGGCTGGCCTTGATCTCACAGGGATCTACCTGCCTCTGCCTCTGGAGTGCTTAAGCATGAGGGTTAAATGTAAGAGAGTCGCTCGGAAGAGAGTAAGTGGGGATAGGTAGGTGCTTCCCAAGGCGGCCTAGGGAAAAGCGACATCCAGGTGTGGGTATGGGATTCTCAAGAGCGCATAGGCAATTCACTGACTTAGCTTTAGTTGTATATCTTTCATCTTTTAGTGACTCTCAAGTTGCATCTCAGAAGATTATTAAGAAATGGTCCCCTCTCTTTCTAAAAAAAATTATCTTGCTAGACTTATCTTCTTTAAAAAAATATATACGTATATTTTGGTCTTTTTGAGACAGTCTCCCTGTAGCCCCAGCTGGCCTGGAACTCACTATGTAGACCAGGTTGGCCTTGAACTCACAGAGATCAGCCTGTCTCTGCCTCCCAAGTGCTGGGATTAAAGGTATGCTCTACCACACCCAGCTTTAAAAAAATTTTTTTAAAGTATTTATTGTTTTTAATTTTTATGTGTATGAGCGTATTGCCTGCATGTGTGTAAGTGCACCTGTGTTGTGCAATCCCTGCAGAAGACAGAAGAAGGCGTTGGATCCCCTGGAATTGGAATTAGGGACAGTTGTTAGCTGTCATGTGGGTGCTGAGATTCAAACCATACTCTTCTGTAAGAACAGACAATGCTCTTAACCACTGAATTATCTCTGCCCTGACTTACCTTCTTTTAAAAATATTTTATTTATTATTATTATTTTATTTGTATGAGTGTATTACGTGCATGTGTGTAAGTGTACCTATGTGTGGGTGCTGGGAACCAAACCCAGGTTCTCTGGAAGAGCAGCCAATGCTCTTAACTGTTGAGCCATCTCTCCAGCCCCCTGTGTCTTTTGATAAAAGAGATACGTGAAATGGTTCCAGAGATGCCTTGAATAGAACTATAATCTGACAAGGTAAAACCAGGAGCCACTCTGGTTGCACTGGAGAGTTAATGCATGTCTTCTTCCTGTCAATGGGGTTTCTGGGAGATTCCTAGGAAAATGCAGGTTTATGCCTGGGAAGGGAAAACCACCTTTAGTTGTTGTAATTGTGCTGGAATTCTTGCTTTGTTGCTAGTGACAGGCTTCAAAGATGCCTGAGCAAGGAGCTCCTTTTCTCTCAGATTCCCAAGATTTTCCCTGCCTGTCTATCTTGCTTCAAGCTACATAGCCACACAGTTGGCACCACACATGCATGCTTCCAAACCTTTGGAAACCTGGGCCAGGCAAAACAACATCTATAAGACAAGAACAAAAGGGAGGTACACAGCAAGCCTGTTGATTGGTCTCAGGAGGGATGATGCTGGACATGGTACTGCATGCCTGTGATTCCAGCACTCTAAAGGCTGGAGCAGGAGTCCAAGCCAACCTGAGCAATCAAAA